AGATGAAGTTGAACAACTGAGTTTATTGCATGCAAGGAACAATAAGATCAAAGAATTGTTCGAAGATATAGGTACAAAGCTCCATTTTATGTAGCAAACTTCAGCTGTTTCTGACGCAAATTGTTACCATGGTAATGGGGGGAGGTCACCTGTGTTAGGACATTCCCAAGACCTTAAAACACTTTGAATGGCCAGTCTTATCTTCCCATAGTTAGGGAGTCTCTACCTCGCACTTGGAATCTCTTATCAGTTCACTCCCATCCCTGCCATAACTCAGAAGTGCTTAAGCATGGAATGTCTTGTACCAAAAGAAGTCTTTGTGCAGAAAGAAATCAGTTAACCCTTTTTTCACATCTTATATCTTCCATCACAGTTGTTTCTGGGCATTTTTTGGGTTGATAAAAAGATCTGCTGCACAGATGATATTTTAAAAAAATGACAAGAAATGGGGGCAACAGCACACAGAGAGCTCAGCCTTGTGGAAGATGCTGTTCCCACCTCTATAGTTACAGTTTCTGCCATCAGGAGTTATCCCACTGGAGGTCTACCAGCACGGATAAACTGGGTCGAGACCTCAGCAATCAAACACACAGCCCTGCTTGCCTGGTCCTTCTATGAAATCACAGTCTATAAGTATGTTTGGGACATCTGTGCAGTGCTAGCTTTGTACTGTAAGTTGACTTTCCTGGAAACCTCAGGACACTGAACCTTCTTGTGCTCCTGTATTCACACCCCTAATTTAAAAAAACTGTGGTATCTAAACCACCACCCAAAACACCTTTAAATAGGGTGATAATAATATCATGCTGAGGGTCTTTGTTGTTTCAGAATGTAATTAATAAAGGTTTATCTCTTGCCTTAGCATCTCAAAAGGATGAACTTGATCCCAAACCACAAGGGAGACCAAGAAGCAACAGCCTCCAGGTAATTAGACCAAACCACTGAAATACTAAGTGTTTACACCGGGGTTATGGTTGTTTGCTTGTCTGTTCGTTGTGATATATTGCAATATTGTGATAAAATACCCTATTTATAGTTTAGATCAATTGTATTGTGTTATTTTTCATATTTTAAACCGTTCAGCTTCCCAAAACATTTGACCAATTGACAATCATCACAAAGCGCAGAAAGCCTCTAAATGAGAAAGGTGTCAAAGTCATTTCAATGAAACACCTTTAAAAGCTGAGTGAGTTGTTAGAGTATTTTGTGTGCGAGAAAAGATGTTGAGAAGTATCCAGCCAATTTCTGGGACATTTCCACCTATTTTTTTCTGTTGATCTGACAGTACACCTGCACTTTTGGAAGACAATTTTGAGAGAATGCTGTATATAAAAAAAAAAATTCAGACCTGTTTCCAAATCTGTTTCAATTTGGAAAGGCAAGACAGTTTCACTGTAATTCTTCAGTATCCTGTGCTCCAGTATTCATTTATAAGGACGTTACTGTGCCATCTTGTATTGGTACTATAGTTCATGCTCATTCTATGCAAAAGGTGTACTGGTACAGAATACAGCATAGAGGTATGACACCGGCTGTTCTCAATCTACAGACTTTAAAGGCAGTCTTTGTCAGCTGCTTTAATAGCCTTGGTAATCTAAAATTACTGAAAGGCATCAGAGTTTATTCATCCACGGTGAGATATGGACACTCAATAAAAAAAATCAGGAAACAAAAAGAGATCAGAAGGCAAACAAACCAAAGCTGCCTTCAGCCAACTGAGGCAACTGATGAAGTAAGGCTTAAGATTTCTTGAGACTTTCAGATGAAGGTCCTGGTTACCTATGTGAAACTCATATATTACCATCAGTGCGACTTTTTTCATCTGAATGTGTTATGCCTTCAGTATGTACTGTAAGATAAATACACCCTCTCATGCTTGGTTTCAGGTGTACAAGATGGATCACAACCCGTGTGGGCACTGCCTCATCATCAACAATGTGGATTTTGAGCGTCAGTCTGGATTAAACAATCGCACAGGATCCGATATTGACTGTGACAGACTGGAGAAAAGATTCAAGGCCTTTAACTTTGTTGTCACTGTCAAGAGAAACCTAAAATCGAAGGTAAATTGAGAAGGCTTGCATATAGCCAACTGTATTGACAGTTTTAGCAAAAAATCCTGCTGCATGGATAGCCTATGTAGCATCTGGGATGGGTGGATGTTTGTTTCCGAAACATTAGTTTTTTACGGGACAGGGTTGTTAGCCTTGTGCCCAACCTCCAACATGGATTACCTGCCGCCCGACGTGGGACATGAACTCACTACCCTGAGATTATGAGTCTCACGCTCTACCAACAGAGCTAGGGCCCCCTGTAGCGTTTGGGGTCATTGTTTATTATTGCGTGTTTATTAAAAAAAAAAAACAGCGTGTTTTTGAGTGGCTCATGACTGAACAAATTCCTCCTGCGCGGTACCTAAAAAGCAACGAGCAACAGCAGAGTGGTAGGACCCCTCCATCCTCCTTTCCTTTTGAATAATTACTTTTTCAACAGACCTGTTCCGTTTCACCCCAAATGTCAATGATTTGCAGTGCAAAACAATGCAGAATTTGAAGAGATGATATCCTTACCTGATGTATACCCATTTTTTTTAAACCTACATTCTGTGTTCATGGCAAATGGGCATTCCAAACCTAGTCACGTATCGTACTGCAAAATCTTCTCATCTCACCTAGAGCGGGTGATTAAAGTATTCTCTTGTTCCCATACAGCAAATCAGACAAGAGCTGACTGCTTTGTCAAAAAAGGACCATTCAAGTTATGACTGCTGTGTGGTGGTCATTCTGTCGCATGGATCTGAGGTAACTAGCACCTTTAAAGGGAGTGAAGACGGGGTGTTTCCCGAGAATTGTAGGTGACGCAATTCACCTGCTTTGTCCATTCGCTGAAGAAAATAACTAGTTTGCAATTTGAGAGTGTCAAAAGTTTCCAAAACAAAATGTTAGCTAGATGTGTGAAATGTATTTATTATTTAAACTGATTATTTTCAGCATTAGCAGCACTAGTAAGGTTTGACATGTAAACACTTATTTTACCATTGCCATGTTGGGAAATGAGTTTACCTTGGGGCAAATGCAGCTCCATAGTTATGTAACAGTGGTACAGTCTGAGGGGGCAGGGCTATATGGTATCTATTTAGGAGGGGGGGAGATCTAACAGGAGTTTTGTCTTGCTATAGCTTCAGTGGAGAGCTGATAGGACCTAGGCGTGGTAGGACTCCTGGTCTCTATTTCTTAGAGAAAGGGTTCATTTTTTGTGGGTGTACTAGTTCCATTTTGTTGGGGATTTTTTGCAATATATAATTGTTTGTGAGGAGCACTGTCCTAATAAACATCACTTTTGCACCTCACCTAAGTGCAGTTGTGGCTGAGTCATCATTCTGTTTTAAAAGGACCCCTCCTGCCCTCCCTGTGACATAGGCAAAGGATGCCACCAGAATCACAGCACTTAAAAAAGGAAAGAGGACACTGGGATGTGACACCAGCCATGGGCCATCTTTCCTTGTGTTGAAAAATAAGGGAAGGAGTGACTTTTGATCACACACTACAGGCAGAACATTAAGCTAGCACACAAAATGGAGTGGGGATCTTCGTGTTTTATAAATAAAGCCTTTCATTGTGTTCAATAACGCTCCCAGCAAAGACAGCTTTCCCTGCACCGGTGGCTGACTGCATGGAAACCCTCTGAATGTGTTAATTGTGCTCTGCAGGCAAGCCACTGTCGCTTTCCTGGTGCCGTCCACGGCGTCGACGGCCCCATCGTTGCTGTTCAGAACATTACCAATTATTTGAACGGGCAGAACTGTCCGACTCTGCAGGGGAAACCGAAGCTTTTCTTTATCCAGGCCTGTGGAGGAGGCAAGTGCTGGTTACCTCCTTTGAGCGAAGGGTCGGAATCGTGTGGTCCTCTGTATGCAAAATCGGAACACCATGAGGAAAAGATTGAGAAGTAGATATTGTACTGAACTGCCTGGCAGCTATGTTGTATACAGGAAATCTAACTTTCTGGGTAATCAAATAGAGCAAAAATATCTGCCTTATTCTTGCAGATGAAAAGGACACGGGATTTGAGGTCTCAGAGGGATTTGGGCCTTCATCAGGTGGCTTGGATGACCAGACTGATGCCATGCCCATGTCATCCAGCAGCGATTCGCTCAGTTTGACTGATGAAGTCGACGCCCGGGCATCCCTCCCTACCCCCAGTGACATCTTGGTGTCATACTCTACTTTTCCAGGTCCCGTAGACGCAGTTCGTATGAGCAGTCTGTGTTGTGGTTTGACATTGCAGTTTGGGGTCTTGTGTTTATTATCGGAATGACTTTTTTTCTTTATTGATGGCAATATAAAAACTACGGAAGCGCATTGCTGCCATCAAGGGAAAAAATATCCCCTTAATTACGAGATAGCAACGATTACGTCAGTGTGTGTACAACCTGTTACACTGTGCACTGAACACATTCAGAAGCTACCGTGGCACTTTCGGTTTAATGACACTTTCGGTGTCAATGTCCAGCGCTGCAGAATTTGTACGGATCTACTTTCGACTGGGGTTTAGTCATAATGACATCTTGCAATTTTTAGCCAATAGGAACAGAATCATTATAAGCACAAGGACCAGTTTTGTGGGATTTAGAGATCAAAGCAACGATGGTTCCGTTATGAACAGTTATACGTGCGGTCAGTCCCACCGCTTAAAACTGTAAGTCCACACGTAGCGATATTGTAGGTATTAAACGACAATTGTGCTATCGCGTGATCACATAAAGTACGCGAGAATGCGAGAATTACTATCTGGTAATTACGAGATAAGGGTGAGGATTTTTTTTTCCCTTGGTGGCAGCAATGCGCCTCCGTAAAAAAAAAATGCTGTAGGGGCAAAAAGTGATATGAGACCATAAATATTTTATAATAGAGAGCTGTCCCATTACCAACCAACAGCCAGTTTGTCCCTAAAATGATTCACCTCAAAAAAAGGCAAAACCGTGTATTTTAAACAAATATGTAACTTGTTTAAGTCCCTAAAGGTCAACAGGAGGCTGTTCGAGCCTGTCTAGCTCATTTGATTGCTAGTTTTCTATGCTACCAATCTGCTGGATCTCATTTAACCATTTCTTAAAGACCCCAGAGACTCTGCATCCACAGTATAGCTAGGTATCGTGTTCCAAACTTGCACAAACCTGATTGAACATGTGCATGTTATACTCTCTACTTCGTGTTGTTTTATTGGTTCGAAAGCTGAAAATGAAATGCAGCTCCAAATCTTTTTGCTTGTAGAATTAGATCCCGTACAATGTGGGAAGGCAGGTGAATCTTGAGAACTGTTTCAGGAAAACCTTGATCTTCTCTCTCAAGGTCTCCTTCCTGCCTGCAGTTCCCTCATCCAGTCATAGCCCTGTATAGATGATCACTCTTTGCACTTTTGTTCTCTAAAAACGCCAAGAAAAGCAGTTTTATTTATGAATGCCTTGGGGGAGAGACCTGCTTATTATTGCAGTATTGTTGTCTTTTATATTGTGTGCAGATTCACTTGTTTTTGCTTTGACAAGGAACTGTTCACACTGGGTTTTCAACCAGTTTACAGGAATTAAGTTGTGGAGTTAATTAATTTGTAGGGCAGCATGATAGCACAGTTGTCTGCATTGCTGCCTCACAGTGCAGCGATCCATGGTTTGCCACCGGACCTGGGGTGCTGTCTGTGTGGAGTTTGTATGTTTTCCCCATGTTTGTGTGGGTTTCCTCTGGGTGCTCCAGTTTCCCCCCGCAGTCGAAACACAGGCTGGTAGGTTGATTGGCTGCTGGGAAAGATAGCCCTGGTGTGAGTGTATGCCTGTATGTGTGTCTGTCTGCCCTTGTGAAGGACTGGCGTCTAGTCCAGGGTGTATCCTGCCTTGCGCCCGTTGCTTGCTGGAATAGGCTCTGGCTCCACTCTGACCCTGAATTTAAAGAAACAGGTTAGAAAAGGTATGGACTAAATTATTTTGTCATTTATTTTGTTGCATAAGCAGCTATGGTACTGCCTAGTGTGAGTCTAAAGATGTTGACATTTTAAGATGCAGTTTGACTGTGATAACCTCCTTTATCTCTTAAACCCCTCCCTGATTATCTCCCTATTGCTTCTACCCTAGTGGCTCTGACAACAAGATGTTTGAGAAAATACAAAAACAAACATATGTGACTGCAAATCTGATATCAAGCTTCTTTTTTTTCCTGTGGTCCTGATATTTTTTGTTGTGGTGGCACACAGGCTATGTTTCTTGGAGAGACACAGCAGCCGGATCATGGTATGTGGAAACTCTGGATAACATCCTTGCCCAGAATGCCAAGGATGAAGACCTTGTCACGATGCTGATGATGGTAGGCCTTTATTATAAGATTAAGATTGAAGGAGCTGAGCCTGTCACTTTAATGGAGTTTCTCGGTATGTGATAAGAATGTGATGTGTTTACTATATTTAAAAACAGAACATTAAAGGTCTCTTGATTTATGTAGGTATTGTATTGTATTTTATGTCTGTGGCCATTGCACAAGGGATAATCATGAGCCCAACATCAGACTTTGTATGATCGGTTTTGATCCTTCTACCCTTATTTCTCTTCACAGGTTACGGATAAAGTGTCCCAGATTTCTGCCAAAGGAATTTACAAGCAGATGCCTGGGTCCTTCAATTTCCTGCGTAAACGCCTCTTCTTTCAAATATTGCCATAGTGCCAGGGATTCCTCCCGAATAATTGAAAATAATTACTTCAGCAAATAAGAATTTACCTCACTACGTGAACAAAGAGTTTTAAAATATTTTTTCTCTAAGAATTTTGGGAATCATTTTCGGAGTACGTGGAAGTATTTTTTAGATTTTGTGTGATTGTACCTTAACTGAAATTATGAATTGTTTTTCCAGTGGTTACTTTTCATGTACCTTTTTAATGCTTATTCATTATTCGTAGTTGTGTGCACATGGCAGAGGTGTGTTACATGCAGTCTCTCTGAGTTTCTGTTTTTCTGCAGAATCCGTACTATGTCCCACTGTTGATCACCCAGATAAGGACTCTTGAATATGTGCTGGGAAATCAGTATCGGTACTTAATGTTGTGTTGCAAAAGGAAAACTTTGCTTCAATTGCTGAACTAAGTACGGGAGATTTCTTCTTCTCAATTTCTTAAAGTAACTACCAGATGCAAGTTGGTGAAAGAAAGAGTAGGTGTGGATAAAGCAAACCACGTAAAGTAAAACCCAGGAATTTTTGAAACATTAGCTTGAAAGTTTGGAAAGGTGAAAACAAAAATTGCATTCAAGCAGAAAGCTTCATCATTCTGACAGTGTGACACAGGACATCGCTTAACTTTGAGCACGTGTTCCATTGAACATCATCCTCTGGAGTTTTTTTGCTAGTGCTTTTCAACAATTGTGATGTTAAAGAAATTAAACTCATGCATAATCTAGAATACTCATACGATTTCTTCTAAAGTCACACATTTTGTGGCCAAACTGCCTGAAGATACATTCAAATGAATTGTTTACTTATAGTTACACTTCTGTCTTTCTGTAAGAGGAATGGACAAACATTACCAAATGTACGTTTGCTTCATTGCCACAGACCTATCGAAATTTAATTATGGTTGTAATTTAAGAAAATGGTTGCTTCTGGACTCGGTGTTGTGTACAGGTATCCAACCCATTTTTCTAGGTTTTCATTTGTAATGACTTTTCAGAATGTTTGAGCATTTGGTTTTCCCTCGGAGGCTTTGTGTTGCAATTTGTAGATCAAGGTAAAAAAAATCTGATTTAATGTGTCTTGATCTCAGACTTTTAGGCTACAAAATGTATTAATTTGGATGGGGGGTGCAGACTTTCTCTAGGCACTGTAAATGCTAGCAATTTACAGGGAGTACATTCAACTTAAGATCTGGAGTTCTGGATGAGTGTATTTCTCTCCTCATATATGTTAGAGGAACCCAGCTAGTGGACTGTGTACCCCAGAGGGTACTTAAAGATGAAATTACCATTCAGTGAAAAATGCATTTTACCTTCGGAACTTTATCATTTGTCTCCATACATACTGTATAGTGTCCTGCTGTTTTTTTGCAGTATTGTATAGTGCAAGTCATGGCAGGGAAGGATTTATAAATCTATGAACAATATACTGGCAGGAGCTGCAGTAAGGCTTTCCTGTGCTAGTAGATGTTAGTAACAGGCTTGGTGTTGCTGCTGCTCTGCTTTGTAACATCTTGCAGAATTCCTGTCCTGGCAGTTCCTCATCCATTCTTCCAGTGACAGTGCAGATCACAGAGGATCTGGCATTTGGGGACTCTGCTAGTGTCTACTGGTAGCAGTATTTTTCTATTTATGAATCCTTCAAAACTAAGCCTTTTGCAAAAATATAGGTAAAGGATTATTCCATGCTGAAAAGTAAAGAGGCACAACATTTCAGCTGGTGAGCCTTCTTCCGGCTCAAATTATAATTTATGTGATGTGTAATAATGTAATAGTATTATAAATCAATCATAAAGGTATTAATGACACCTGAAGACCTGGAATGTTGTGTCTGTTGGAATAAACCTTCACAATAAGCCTACACATGCTGACGCAACTACCTACCTGAACTCTTTCTGCAAAAATGTCAGGTTGTGAAAAAACTAACGTTTTTCATCAGGTAACCAAAAAGCAATGGACCTGAAAATATGAAAACTGAGGCATTAACTAGTGCATTTGTTCTGCAGTGCAATGTTTTATGTTTTACTATGGGTGTTGACTAGTTCATTCACATTATTACATGACGATGTTTGGTAGTTAAGTAGTTAATTGGTCCAAGGATCCCATCCAGCTATTTTGTGAAAAATGTAGTGAGTATCAACTTCAACCAGCATGGCTGGCTTCCTGACCCCTGAACCCTTTGTGTAAAGTAACTCCTGTTGTTTATTTTAAGTGCACTTCCACTTAATTTGAATTAGAGATCACTTCCTACTAATCAGACTATACCTGAGTACCACTCATAAGATACAGTAGGAAATGAAAATGAGAGACTTCTGCGTAAAATCTAGACAACACAGTAGTAAAATGATATTGTGAAACGATAATTACAGTTATTAAGAAATGAAACACTATCCACATTTAATGAGTGAGTCAAAGCATGATTTGTACTGTACTTTATATCTACAAACTGTGATTTTTTTATATTATGTTCTCTTGGCAACAGGTTAGCCAAAGTTCCAAGGTTTGGAAGGGAACTTTTTTAAAATACAAGGATGCAATAATAAATATGATGTCTTACCTGTCCTTATTCCCAAAAAGGCAAAAAATATGTTTACCTGTTGCCTGGGTTTGAGGCAGTGAAGTCTGTGGTGCTGTTTTTTTTTTTTCAATATGTTGTTGATTCATGAAATTTTAAATAAAATATCAAATTTCAGTGAGATGGATGAAAGTGTACTTACTCCATGGTATGTCTGTATGCTCTTACGATCCATGATTTAGATATCATTGTTTTTCGCTGTGTGATGGTACCCTTATTACATCTCTGGAACTGAATTGAACTGAATAGATCTCTGCAGGCACATTTCACTGGTCTGTTTTTGGTTCTTGTCTTTGGCCTCCTGTGGGTTATCTTCGATCAGGGTGTGTGAATCAGCTCACTGAGTGATTCTGAGCTTTGAGGTTTAACTGCCCGCCACTTACCCAACAAAGTGCTTTTCATAAAGTAACCATAGAGAAAGTATTTTCAATTCCTCTGTTGTAGCCATAACGATTCTAGAACAATGAATGAGATTCAGGAGTAAAATTGCTGGCAAAAAGTCAGCCATCATCACAGCCAATAAGGACATCTCATGAGCTTCAGTGAATCATTTCCAGGAGTTCATTTTTAAATTGTTTTAAAGGGGTGAATGAGGGCATTAAATCAGTTGGAGAACTACAGTTGATAGAAGGTGACAAGGGAACAAGGGAATGTGAAAAATAAGCTGGGACATGTTAACGCATGACCTCTTATTTTACTTGTATAAATGACCCATATTTTAACAAACCCTGTTAAAACCTTTTAGAAAATAGTGACATCGCTGTTTCAAATCACAATAATATTTACCAAATGCATGTTGTATTAAAAGTATTCTTATCCTGCTGGGTGCTGCATTTCAGCGGTGGATGGCATGAGTCAATATGTGATTAAAAGTGCTGTCTATATGCATGCGTTTGTTTCTTCTTCATCTTCATCTTCTTCTTGATGCAATATGTATCAGCAGCTAGATCACCCTGCAGCTCACAGCCGGCAACCCACTGAAGCTCAGCAGGTGTGAGGCTGGGCAGTCCCTGCACGGGAGACCTCCTGGGGAAAATCTAAGGTTGCTGCTGGAAGAGGTGTTAGTGGGGCCAGCAGGGGGCGCTCACCCTGTGGTTTGTCTGGGTCCTAATGCCCCAGTATAGTGAGGGGGACACTGTACTAAAAAAAGGCACCGTACTTCTGATGAGACTTTAAACTGAGGTCCTGAACCTCGGTGGTCATTAAAAATCTCATGGCGTTTCTTGAAACATTAGTGGAGTAACACTGGTGTCCTGGATAAATTTGCCTCTTGCCTTTATTGGTCATGGCCTCCTAATAATACCTTTGGATTGGCTTCTTTACTCTCTCCTCCCCATTGACGACTGGTGTGTGTTGAGCGTACTGGCGCACTTTGGTCGAACTTTGGCTGCCATCACATCATCCAGGTGAGGGCTTTATATTGGTGGCAATGGAGGGGGGTCCCCAATACCTGTAAAGCTCTTTGAGTGCAGTGTCAAGAAAAGAGCTATATAAATGTAAGGATTATTATTATGTGCGATATGTTGAATAGAGTACAGCACAGATAAAAGTCTGTTGCCTATAGGTTTTTAGTACACATAAATTAGAAATAAAGCAGTTACAACAAAACTCCGCAATCAATAGTCCTACCCGAAACTGAACCGATAAGTTGTTTCTCATTGGCCACAGCAAAAAAAGAGAAAAGTACTGTGCATTTTTATGCAACGTGACAGCTCTTCTGTGAGGAGACTGCAGTACAGGAGAATGACCACAAGAGGCCACAAGAGGTGTAGCAATGCGTGAGGAATCCCAGCTTCAACCCAGACTGTAACTGCCTGGACCACAGGAAGAGTCATAATTAATAATAAGAATTGCTTACACTTATATAGTGCTTTTCTGGACACTCCACTCAAAGCACTTTACAGGTAATGGGGACCCCCTCCACCACCACCAATGTGCAGCCCCACTTGGAGTAGCACTGAAACGTCACCTGGGAGTCCTTACTAGTGGTGTGTTTGATGAGCTCTGTTATTAAATTAATTTTTACGCATTCATTTCCATCGCGTCCATCAACATCTACATTTCAACTCAGTGACAACTGATATACTGTATCACGGTACTGTTAGACCGTGTAGTAAAGCCTATTATTCCAGCTGTTGCGCTGTGACAGGTGGCTCTCTGGCTTAAAAATGAAGGTACCTGGAGCTAATACATCAATAAGAAGTGAGAAGCAATGTTAAGACATGTGTTGTGATTCTGCTCGAGAGCCATAAGAAATGCTGAGTGAGGATCAGAGAGGATTTCACAACACTTTCTTTGGATCTAGTAAATAGTTAATACCCTTTCTTCCATTCATCCATTTTCTCACCACATCATCCAATTTAGGGTCGCAGCAAAGCCAGAGCCTATCCCAGCATGCAACGGGCACAAGGCAGGATACACTCTGGAAGGGATGCCAGTCCATCACAGAGCACATACCCTTTCTTTAAAGAGATAAATACACATTCCCAAAGTTGAGCATTTCCCTCAGAATGCAGCTTAAGAGATGCTTTCTGGATGGGCTTTTAAACTATTTTTCACTCGCAAGAAAAGATAAGCTAGGCCGGGGTTAAGACGATAAACGTCTCGTCTTAATATGAAGCAGCTGCCTACTGAATCCATGCCGAGAGAGAACCGCCTTTCTTTCCCTGTAACAAAATGATTGAAGGCATAAGGAGAAGCAGTGGGCATTTTCTTTGGCCACCTCTCTGGTGCCCTGAGAAGTGCCAGGAGCCTAACTGGTAGGTCAGAAATAGCTCTTGCACCTACAGTAGAAGCCAGGGATGTGTTGATCAATAATAAACCTATAAGGGATGTAATTCTCAGTGAAGCACATGTCCTCTGAATGTCAAAATATGTTTCCTACTTCTGTTTATGTTGACAGCCTTTATTCAAAGGAAACTGCTAACTGAAGTTTGGGAGGGATGATGACATCACTGGCTTTTGTCCCAGCTGTTCCAAATCAATGTTATTCCCAGTGTCATTGCTCACATATGCAGTATCATACACAAATCTGTCTTTTAACACTACTCCTCGCCCACATCTCCTCCATCCCTTCTCCACCTGTGCAGTTCACTATATACTCAATAAACATCCGCAGGCACATCCAGTTCTTTGATGTTGTAATTCCGCATGAAAATCGAAAACTTGAGACCAGCAAGTAACAGTGTCAAGCAAACCTGATACAGAAGATTGGCAAAACCATACTATATTTTAATGACGGTAATAAAATGCAATCTCTCTTGTAAGGCTGAATGAACCTGAGAATTATTTAAACAACTGAACATTTTATTTTTATTTTATTAGAAATAAAGCCTTTGCTGGAACTTGGAGCACAGTTTTAAACCTGGACATTGCCTGACACAGGCTCTGTCGTTTGTGTAGCTACAGTATGAGCAAATCGAGAATAACTTTCTTTCCTTTGTTCTTCCAATTGACTTCTCAGCAGAATCGTTTATAGATCTCTGAGACTTTCTGCCTAATCATCTGATGAAATCAGGACACTCATCCAGTGGTAATGGAGTCATTTCCTGTCAGTTTTCAAGTGGTTTGGAACTCCTCCAGCATCCTGTTACATCCTCTGTTACTTACTGAAATACTGTAGTTACAGCCATTAGAAGCGAAACTCAATCATCACATCTAGGGCAAGCTGATAATTTGCTGCTAGTTAGACCTTTATCTTCTTTATAGATTTAGTGTTTTGAAGACCTACAAGACCAAGCAAGGCCTGGACCCAGTCAAAACTTCGGTTTTCCTGCCAATTGCAAATACAAAAAACGAATTTCTCTTGACAGTGGTTTTCCACTACGTTCACGTTTCAAGGCATCCTTGGCAAACATCAACAACAAGTGATATGTTTGCAATTTGCTATTGGCAAAAAGGGGATACGTTTTAATCGTGGCCCAAGGCTTTGGATATATTAAGACAAATAATAAAGCAATTACATGTGAGAAAGTTAATTCGATTTTATTTGATGTCCATTGGCATTCCAGGAGATTGTCATGACAACGAGATAGTATTGTTCCCACAACGGGAAATGTGTATGTATCCAGGCACTGTTTAGAAAAAGTGTTTGAGCAATATTTAAATTTAAACAATGTCTATCCAACCATTTTTGAAGATATTAGGGCTAAAAATGTGTGCTCTGTTAATCTAACATAAAATATTGCTTAGTCACTCATTTCTCCAGACATATAACTCTAGAACTTCTCTCCCTTCTCATCAGCATTTGTGCATAGTTTTCTGTCAGTCCTCTCCTTACACAAGACAGAAATTTCAATCTAAGCGCTAAAATGAGTCATTTATACCCTGGCTGCCATGCATCATCCAAGTGTTGGCTACATAACCTGTGAAGTGCTTTGAGTGGAGTGTCAAGAAAATTCCCATATAAGTGTAAGGAAATCTTAATATTCCCTATGGATCAAGTCATATTCCAAGTGCTGAGACAGAAGTTTGGTTTCTAATCGTAGATCCTCAGCTTAGAACATTTAACAGAAAGCTACAGTACTTCTTATCTCATGTATAGCAGTTCCTTTTTTATTTTCAGTGTTAAGATCCTTTTATAATGTCGCATAGACCTTTCAGGAACATCAAACAGCAGGAATAATTGCTTTTCAACTTGTTAAATTCAAAGGGAATTGCAGGGAAGATCATGATACAATCTTTACAGTTTATTCAATTCAAAGGGAACAATTGCAGTAAAGATCTTGATAAAAGGAGTAATTGCCTTTGAAGGACACATTGTTAAGCATGGGTACTGTCTGCATCTTGAAATATACTATAATTCATTGTTTCTAAGCAGAACCAAATTAATTCTAACGTATTAATTAGAGTCTATGATAGTCTTCTAAAAACTGTAGACAACTTAGTGTCTTTCAGTGTATCTGAACTTCCAGATAGTGTTAGCTCCAGACACTTTTACAATATGTCTCAAGGCTGTTTTTGCTGTTCAAAATGTTATTAAAATTAGAATGTTATCTGTATTTTTTATAACAGGAATTTCTAGGTGGTAGTTTTGCAGCAAAATAGTTTTGATATGGACATTGTTTCTTTTGTCTCTGTTAAAGCCCTCTGGAGGTTGCTGGTTCAAATCCAGATTGACTT